CGGCCGCCGGAACTATACCTGTGTTGGCCTATACTACTGACGAAGCACGCGAGTAGTCTCTTGCTCGGTATCCAGATTCCACTCCATATCTGACGGAAGGTAAAGATCATTGTAGAAATTATAGAGTCGCTTTTCAGCGTTTGTTTATATTCGTTGATATTCAATGAACATCTAGGAAAGTTCAAGAGGACACTTGCGAATGTTCACTTTTCAAAAACTCTGCATGTGAGGTGCTCACTTTCGTGTCTAGTAGGTTGCAACCGTAATCGCTAGCCTCCTTCCACCAGTGCCTTTCAGGAAGTAAAACTGAGGGTTTGTGATAAAGACGTGCAGGCAGAAAAGTGTTACAGACTTTTGACAACCCAAAAGTTCATCGGCAGTGATTTCTCTACTAACTATTTCAAAATAGTTGGCACAGTAGTTAAAGTGAGTTTTTGTTAGCCATATGGTCCTCTTTCAGGCTTTGGTTTGCTTTATTCAGAAATAGTAATTTTTCGAAATTTTACGAATGTTATTCAAATCGCATATCTAATGACTCATCACGAGTAGGGCACACATTTCAGGTTGAATAACATCAGTTACTCAAGCATCCAAATGCTGCGGATATATGAACCGCAGAAAGTGGGGAAACTTCCCTAGGCCAAGTCTTTTGTCTTTATGTTAAGAAAATGATTTCCGAATACTAAAAGTTTGACTCATATTTTGTGTCAAATGTCCAGCTACGATGTTTGTGTAGTTTTTCCGTGGTAAATCCCGGCTATTTCACACCCTCGGGGGCGAGATGGACCAAGTGATTAGAGCACGAATTTACTGACCGGAAGGTCCATGGTTCGAATCCGATCTCTGCACCTTAACTTCCCTTGTCTAGGCTTGGGCAACCTGGCAGTATCCCAGCCTTCGTGCTTCCTTTGGATGGCATGGCAGCTTGGCACCGAAAGAGTGCTACGGCTGAACGATTTCACACCCTCACTTCAATTCGTATGCCTTTTCCAGTGTTTAAGCTTGTGCGAATGTTATCGCCGCATCAGGTGTACATCACGAATTTCTTTTCAGAGCCTAACGCTACTACCTCAGATTGTTTTGCTATGCATGGAACGGTACTACCTGTTGGTTATAAGTGCACACAACGCGTCCGCCATTACTCAGAACCTCGTTCCCTGAACTGAGTCATCAGTTACAGCGCAGTGAACTTTAGAACTCGTTCTATATTGGTGTTGTGTATCTTATTCCACTTTGAATAACTAGCCTACTGATTCAACTCTACTCTCATACAGCTTTCAACACAAATTATTTTCTTGGTGATCTGATAAGGTTTCGTTTCTTTTGTTATACCACTCACGGAGTACGAATTGATCCGACCAGTCTCGGAGGGGCAGTGTTGCCAGTCTGATCCTTATTCATCATACCGTCCAACTGAAGTTTGTACTGAACATTCGTAGGTTTAACTCCTCTACTTTTAGCCCTCTCCATCCTCCTCCCATGCAATCGATTCCCTACAGGTTTCTCCAGTTCGCCGTAGCAAAAGAAACTTTCATTCTATCGGCCGTTTACAGGTTCATAAGATAAGTTTCTTAGCATCATACGTAGGTTGTGTGCTGATTTGTTTTCCTGGCTTTAAAAAATTATCATTTGTCAGTATTGTTGCACCGAAAAACACATGCAAAACAGATTAAAACTGATCTGAAACTTCTCATAAAAGAAACTACTCACAAGGTTGCTGAAAACTCGTCGAAAGCCCACGATCGGTTTCTCCCCCTATTGGAGCTCATCAGGTGGGCGCAGTACCCGATTTTCCGTCAACCTTATGTTCTACTTGAACTCAGAACCTTGTTCTCTGAACCGAGTTGTCAGTAACAGCGGGATGAACTTGATAACTCGTTCTACACTGTTGTTGTAGATCTTATTCCACTCTCAGTGAAATGCTGCGTCCAGTGTAAAGTTTCGAATAGCTAGTCTGTTAATTCAACTCCAGTCTCATACAGCTTTCAGCGCAGGTTAGTTTCTTGGTGATGTGATAAGATTTTCTTACTTTCGTTATGCCACTCACGGAGTACGACCTGATCCGACCAGTCTCGGAGGGGCAGTGTTGCCAGTCTGATCCCAAGTCATCGTACCGTACAAACCTATCCAACTGAAGTTTGTATTGAACATTTATAGATTTTACTCCTCTACTTTTAGCCCCCTCCCCCTGCAATTGATTCAGTACAGGTTTCTCTAGAAAACGAAACTTTCATTCTATCGGCCGTTTACAAGTTCATAGGGTATGTTTCTTAGCGTCATACGTAGGCTGGGTGCTGATTTGTTTCCCTGGGTTTAAAAATTACCATTTGTCAATACTTTTGCATCAGAAATACATGCCAACCAGATGCAAACTTATCTGAAACTTTATTTTCTGGTCTTGTTGCGGCAACCAACGAGCCAACCAAATTCCTGCAAAGCACCAGAAATGTTATTTCGAATGCACACATTTCACGTTGTCATTCTCTGAGTCATTCATTCTTCCACTATTCCAGTTCGGTATCATACTACTTAAATTACTTCTCGTCCACTTACTTGCTTTCTCACTTGACTACTTGAATTCTACCAAACCAAATATCTCTCTCCTTGCGATCCTTGGCATTGATGACCGAACTCGTCGACGGTGGTAAGTTGCTCACAAGGATTTTGATGAAATTCTCTTTAAGGAGACACCTTTATTTAGTTCTAACCATGATTTTTCAGTTACACAAGTAACTCTATTGATTTCTACCACATGTTCCCTGCTCTCTACAAGAGAAATTTAGACCTGCTAAGAACAGGGACATTCTTCTCGGAAGGGCTTGGTAAGCCATTAGGGGCAGCGTTCCGAGCTTGACGCAAAATCTTCACTTGGTCTGAGGAAGCTTTTGTGTCAGAAAGGAAACCTTGCCAAGTTAAAAACTGACGATAGTTTATCAAGCCCTTCTGACACGATGACTTCTCAGCTGATTCCCACACTGCCAGAAAATTCACTGATATGGCTTTTAGTGCTGTAGTCACGTTTTATAGGACTTTTTCGAACCAAGAACATCATTTTGCTGTGACAACACAAAATGTTACCTTGTGTGGTGTTTGATATATTTTTGTGGAGATTCCGTCTTTTAAGTGAAGCCAATCTATTCTGAAAAGCCGAGAATCACTTTACAGCTGTTTCATTCTTATTGAAAAGCATCAGCAGTACGCATCTCACGAAACTCCGGAGAGTTCTATAAGTAGCTCAGTGGAAGAATAAACTTCACCCGATGAGTGAAAATTCTATCTGAGAAGTCGTTGCTCGAGGAGCCAGTCAACACGTGTGACCGGGTGATGTGGATCCCGTGATTGAAGGATGAGCGGCGCTATATCCTGTCTAAGTGCGAGTTAATCACACTGCTGATCAGCCACTCGTGGCCGAACGGTCAAGTGTTCAAACTACTAGCCGGGAGGTCGCGGGTTCGAGACTCTTCAGAGTTTCGTGAGATGCGCACTGCTGATTATTCCCAATAGGAACAGTGCTGTACAGTGCGTCTCGGCTTTTCAGCATAGATTGGTTTCACTTACAGGACCAAATTAGCACACACAAAAAAACAAAATCTCCTCGCACTACCAACAATGCCTGAAATATGCTTAGAATTTCGGAATTGCACACCACCGGTTTTTGCACCACTTTGTGGCCACTAAGTAAACGTATCCTCCGTAAGAAACGCCATAGCGCACTTTGGTTGAAAAGTAAACGTGCTAATACGCTCCAAATTTCTGCTAAAGGTACTGCGGCTTTTTCAAGACACCCATTTGTATAACTTTACACACTGTACTCGCATCGTTTGTAAAGATTTTAGTGCCAAGTCGCGCTGGATTTCTCCTGGAAGAACAACCATCCTTTGATTTGTAATGCAAGAAATGTTTGACCCCAGAAACTACGAGCACTCAAGTTAACTTTGACAGATTGGCAATGATCCACGTCATTACTCCTAAATATCGATTAACTCCCTCTTCAAATCTGGCTACGGTCGACTGGCTTTATTAGGCCAAGGATGTATAGGGACAACGGCCCCTATTTGAGGACACGTAGTTATCCGCACCAAAAATAGGTGGCTTGTACGACCAGATGGTATCTGTGACGGAAATGGTATTATCTGGGACAGACCACATGGAGGGTCGCGTGCGATGCCAACACTCCCCATTTCTTCTTGACATTTGGTGCTATGACTCAAATAAAGTGCTGCACAAATTTGCTCTCAGGATGAGAACAGCGATGCGTATTGAGTCTATCCAGAGCTAACCAGGTCGACAGCTTTCTGAATGAAACAAATCAGAAAAAGTTCTCTTTCGGACTCTCACATTCTCTTAAGAAAACGTGATAGATCCTAATGGAGATCATGACATCTACGAAGAAGTTAGGAAACGCAAGACGAAGGTGATATCAACCGCGGTGTTGCATCCGACAAAAGCGGATATCAAGCGGACCCACGTAGTGGTTCGTAACTTATAATTACGTCACAGTAAGGCCAGGTGAGCAGCGGCGTATTAGAAGCGGTAGATGCCTGATCAACGTTGTTTTTGCTTAAACAATTTTGCGCTCAGTACAAGAAACGGAGCTATTCTTTCAGAAGTTGACTGTCCTTCTCCAGTGGCCCGAAATAGTGGAGAGCACATTTTTCTCATGATGATGGGCTGTGTCAGTTTTTCACGTATTTTCCTCTTATTTCCACATTACCTGGTTCTAACTCTAAGGTGGTTGGGTCCCCTTCTTTCCGATATATTCTTGTGATACGAGTCGAGGCCTCTGAGAGACGACACGTGTGTCCAGGCAGAAATCAGAAAAGGACAACAAATACACTACTATTATGGATTCTCAACTTACTGGAGCGTTATTATTTTTTATTGACGTCCAAATAACAGCTAGTTAATAGCATCCATCTTAGATGTGATATACTACTCGTTGGGTTGCTGAAAACTCTGCTTTGACATCTGGCCTGGTGACTTCTTGGGGCGTCCCTCTGATGGATGTCCTGGACAGCTTCTCAGGCATCTTCGATGATCCTTTGCTGAATGAATTCACGGACAAACTATTGAGCGACATTGATTTGACGGAATCAAATGGAATCTCGTGTGATGTCAATCAATCTCAGGATGATGGTGTCATCGATGTTTCGGAACTGGAGTACAAGATCGAGTCAGATAGGAGGAATCGGTGGGACTGTTCGAATAGCACGACTATGGAAGCTCTTTTAAAGTCCCGAAACCCTGTATCTTGCGTTCCTCCAGCTCCTGATTTATGCTCAGATCTAACGAAGGCCTCTCCCAACGTCACACATTTGAAGGTTCACCGGCGGAACTCCCTGCCAACTCTAAAATCGGATCCTGAGAAACCTTAGTTACCCATAGATGGAGCTAGTGGAGTAAAACCGAGACTGATCCGTGACTATCTTGAGAAGTGTGAGACGGAAGATCCGTTCTCGAAACATCCTCACCGACACTTTATTTGCTATGCGAATAGACCGCACCAGACGAGCTGCAAGGACGCACATGAGTTTTCAGTTCATTCCAATCCTGACACACCTGATATATGTGTCGCCGTGACTGTCAAAAATAAACTGACATTTCTGCAACATGTATTTGGACGGTCTCGGTTGAATTTGAAGGGCAAAACTTTTGACAAGAGGCGTAAAATCGGGCAGCCTGACCTCTGGGGATTATAAAATTATCAAACGCAAATTATTGCTTTACCTTTTAAAATACCACGAAAAGGAACCAGATCTGAGTCAGTTTGACCGTTACTTTTGTTCTCTGAACATGCTTTTGACAGCTGAAATGTAGGAAAGTCTGGGTTAGACAGAGAATCGCAATTAGGAAGTCAGAGTAAGCTGCCTTGGGAGCGTGATCAGGCCAGACTGTCATAAGTTATGAATGCCCATGAAGTGGGCGCACAACACGTGGCATGAATAACGAAATTTCGTCGTACAATCCATTTACCGTCAAAGGCGAGATTGTTTTGAAGACAACTCAAAGCGTCCTCATTTGGTTTCGAGGCAACCCAGGTGTTTTCTAATGGCTCTGTCCACGGCGGTATAACATCACCTCCAAAAACCCGCGACGCGCGACTCTAAACTTTACTAATTCTCTTCTTTAGTTTTTCGTGATAACCATTTTCGAAAATCCACGAGGAAGTTTTTTACAACTGGCTAAGTTGTATAATCTCAGTAGATGATGTTGCTCTATTGCACGTACACAGATGATACTGCTCCATTTCATGTGTACTTCCGTAAACTAAAAACGTCACTTCTCTACACTCCAGCCGTGGAAGTACCACCTCTCCGTGCTGGATGGATTACATCCGTGGCCTTACTGCCCGTGGTTATCAAGTCAGTGTGAGGATAACCTAGCTGAGTCGATGGAACGATATGATAAGTTGACGAATTTCGCCACCGACAGCCAATCCCCCAAACGACTTATTGATCGATGGAGCACCTTTGTTCTATTCGTTCGTATAATGTACTTTAGTTGTGTGTCTGTGTGAATGAAGTTGGGGTTGCTTCTTGATGAAATTTCCATGGACGAATTTAAACCATGACGGACTGACACAAGCTTGCTCACGAATTGGATCGGGGAAGTGTTTGTGCGTGGATCGTTGTGAACTGAATTCACCCGATAAATGAAGTCTTCGCAACTCAAGAAGCGGCTGTGTTCCGTCTTATTGATTGCACGGCGGATCAATCCTTCGTACTGTAATCGTTAACTGTGCAACGATTCGTTCAGAGGTTCTGGTCTTGTGACTGTTTGAATTTCGTGACACGATCAATATATGGGGAGCTCCAATATGGATATAAAAGCTGCGCAGTGCCTCTGAGCTTTCTAGCGCCGACTGGCTTCACTTTCCCACGGATGAAATTTCGAAGAGCCCTCACGCTACCCGTGTGTAGTTGTATGTTCGTCGGTAAAGCACAGGCTTTCACGGTCAATTACATTTCATCAGAAGATATGTCCAAAAGTGCGGGCGCAGTCAGTTTGTTCGAGTCTGTCCTTTTCACTGATATTTACATGGAATCACTCGGCACAGTTACAACTAACGGTCAACAAATAACAAGGGCGCAGATATAGACACCTGTCCGACACTAGCTTACTCACCACTACACGCCGGGTGTGCTCGAACTGTTGGCTCAGACTAGAAATCCATTCACTCATAAGCCTTCAAAATATATTGCGGACTTGATCACCGAGAAGTTTTTCCCTGAAATTTGTTGTCTAAACAATTAGACGCCGGTTTGAGGTCGCAGATGTGTGACTTTTCTGCCTGAGAAACTCACAGATGACGCGCGCGATATCGTTTACCCCAATCCCGTATGCATGAAATCCTTTTTCATGAATGGCCATCGTTTTTTGCACACATTTTCGAATATATAACATGGTTATATAACAAACGTGTTTCCATTTCCAGAAAATCGGTTCATTTTTGAAGACGCGCGAACGCACAGATTCCGAGTTTTAAAAATCATATGTGAAAACAGATTTGACAGTCTCATGGATGCTTCTTAATAATTGTACTTTTGTCTCAGAAAATATTTAACCTTAATTTTGGAGTTATACAAACGCTAAGTAGCAACGCTGCGATGGGGGCTCATGCATATTATCTGGTTTCTAAGTCAAATCAACAGCTGCAGGTGTAACTTGTAAGTGAGGGGCTAGTCACGTGACACCGAAAATTGGGATTACTGGCAATGCCAGTTCGTTTGAATAATACGTTCGATAACCAACTACTCAAAACAGTTGTGTGTGGAACCAAATCATGCGTCTAATGCTGAACCATTCCCATCGTGGAAAGGATTATACGGGCGCCAGTTTAAACAAGCAACTATGCTTCCCTTGTTGATTGACGGCTCACATTTAGGGTAAATTGTGGTAAATGCGTTGAGTTGTCTTCACGCTGAACTTTATTTTGAGGATAGCTGCGAATTGGTGCGAATTTGTCCCCCTCCGTTGAGGTTCCGCTTAAATTTAGCGGCAAGTAACAGGCTTACAAATTAATTCACTTAGCTGTTTATCGCGCAGAAACAAAAATATTCAGGCACAATGTTCCCACGCGGAGTTATCCGACATACTTCACTGGGCGAAGAGATTCACCGTTTCACGAGCTTCCTTCTGCGAAAATAGAAAAAGTGCGCTGGATTGACTGTTATTGAACTGGGCGCTCCTATCGGAATTGTTTACAACAATTCAACACCGCGTGAAATGCTGAAGCTTTCCACGGAACTAGATGTAAGCAGTCCCTTATTTCGGTCTCTATCGGCAGCTGAGAACAGCTTTTTTCAACTTACCACCAAAAGTGTCTTTCATTAATTGGGAAAAATGAGAACGAAATGCCCAAGTCCCAGTCTAACGGTGGATGCTACTGATGAGGCCTGCGAGTAGTATGTTTTCTTGTAAATCCGCTTCGCGCCTCTTGAAAATTGAGATCTATTACGGACTTTGTGGAGTCTCTTTGTATCATTTGCTTGCATTTGAGCAACAGTCAATGAATATTCAGGAAAGTTCAGGAGGACGCGTTCAGGGAGAAGAGGGATATTCAGTTTTTGTATACAAGATGCATATGAGGGTTTTGCTCTCCTGTTCAATAGTTTGTAACTGTTCAGTTGGCATTTTTCACAGCGAAGGCCTTCTCCCTTCCACCAGTAACACCAGCTCATTCCTCCAGCGACAGAGCGTCATTCGAAGTGAACTAGGAAATATCTCCGGCAACGCGTCCTGGTGAAATACGCCGATTTTGCGGAAACGGTTGTCTGTACCCCTCGGAGTAAAACTGTGGGTTTGAGAACGCAATAAAGCCGGTGCTGTTCGTGTTGCCACAGATAAACAGAAATAACTATAGCGATACTCAGGGAATGATGCATCCTTGATGCTTCTGAATCATCTGAGGAAGAGTGAGGTTCACCAACGTCCAAGGTGATGTTTTTGGCTTGTGAATAATTTGTGGAAATAGCATCTGCCAAAAATCAAAACGTCAGTGGACGCTGGTCACGGGATTGCCTATCTGCGATTGCGTTTGTCTCATCAATGATGTCTAAAGGGTTCTTACAGGGCAGATACCAGGTCTGTCTATTCTAACCGAGCATCAGTGAGCGTGTTTTTGTCTGTCAGCGCAACAATTTGATGCAGGGGGGCTATGCATGCACTCACAGGCAAAGCTATGGTGATACGCTGTTACGATGAAAGCCATGACTATTGTAGCCGACATTCACTTGTTGTTGTATAGCGACATAATTTCGGAACCAGTACTAGAGAGCTTGCATATCCGCCCATGAGATCGCTACTGCTCAATTCCAGGAAGACCCTATGGACTAGGTGTTCAAACAGCACAGTGTGGTTCCTTAGCAGGCATCTGATATTTTGGAGAACCGCGCACCTAATGACAAGTATGTTATGAAATCGTTGGCCCAAACTTGTGCGGCAATTCCATCGTACCTCAACATCTTTCGGGAAGATCTCCGCCCATCCGTTTTTTACTCGGGACTATATAGAGTCATTCAGTATAGCACCTTAGCAGGTAATCGACGCGCATCGCTGTGAACCTCTAGTCTGACCTGCCTTCTGAAATTTGTCCGCTTCCGGAGCCTGTTCCGTTTCCGCATTTGATGGCGTGTTGTCCGAGGTCGACTCTGTTTTATCACAGAGTTAGAGGTTTCTTGCTTGTAACAGTAAACAGACAAGGTCGATTGTTAAGGTAGATATTTGAGACTCATTTCGAGGACCGGTCTTGAGGGCATGATTGTAACCATACAAAGGCAAGCTGTGTTTCGAAAAACATCCACTATGATGGCTTGACTCCCAGCTGAGTACTGCTGAGGTCGAGGAGGGGCGCACGCCAAGCAGACTGGCTTTGTGGTGAGATTTCCGCAGTTAGCCACATTCGTACCATAACCTTGGGATTTGAGGCTGTTGAGAGCAACACACCATGTCACGCGATTGGACGGTCTGCGTCATGAACACCACTCAGTCGATCTCAGTATCAATCATGTGTAACAGCATGATTTTTGCACACCTATCCTCGAGACAGTTTAGCCCCTACTGAGATGATTCACACCTAATGTGCAGCTCATTTATGCCTCAGATGCTTTCACATCTGACTTTTTCAATCGATGATCTTTGCCCTGAGTTAAAATAGGTTTTGCAAGTGCAGATTGTTCACCATGGTAATTATGTTTGACCCAGCCTTTGATTGTTTTTTTTTCAAAATTTCGGCTTTTTGCCGCGAGCGGTTGCACGAATAAACGTTTCGCATCACTTGTCGGCCCCAACAACCGCGGGTGGACTCATCACAAGAAACTGTAAAGCTTGAGGTGTCTACGCACAGTGGGTGTGTGTCACTCATTTCTCAAACGTTGTATGAGTTTCCTTACCAGAACACACCAGCCATGAGGTTGTTAAAGCCTCTCCGACAACCCACTAACGGTTTATTCCTTCTGAAGCTCATTAAGTATAATGACGCAGAACATAAAAATTGAGGACCACGCCCACTTGATGAGCCCTAAAAAGGATGAAACTAGTCGCAAACTACCGAAGGGTTTTCAGAAACCTTATAAATAGCAAGTCCTGTCAGGCATATATGCTTCAAGTACAGTACCGACTGCAATATGAGGCGACTTCATGCAGCACACTCCTTGAAGGATAGCAAAAACGGAAGCTTCAGCTTGGATTTACTTCACTCTCCCGTTAAGGGCAAAGTACCTTCCCAGAGGCTGTCTTTAGCTAATTGAGCACAATTTGGGTTCAAGCGGAACATAATGCTGACGAAAACTCGGAGACTGAGCCTACCTGATGACTCCCAAGAAGGGCCAAATCGATCGTGTGCTGCCGCAGAGTTTTCAGCAACCTTATGAGTAGTGCATTCGTGAAGCTGATACAGGCCATTCAAAGTATGCTACGGAAAGCCTCGCATTTAGGTAACTACTGTTGAAAACACCGTCGTGGACCATCTACGAAGGTAGGGTCTCCTCAAACGAGTCTTTTTAGCGGGACAGTTTACCCGAAACTCTTTTCTGTGAGAACCTGTACCAATCATGATATACAGTTCACAGCCATCCGTCCAGACAACGAACAGGTAGAAACCTACTGATAAGTCGGTAGATTTTCGGAAGCGCTAATCATGTATTCAGATGTTACTCCAGCATTGCTCCCCATTCCATAAAGTGATGGAGGCAACAACTGGTTTGTTTAGTTGAACCCGATTCTACCTTCTGAGGAGCAGCACTCACCAGGTGGGTAGAGTTCGGACATCCTGCTCCAACAAGTGCAGTCATTTGCAAACTAATTTGGTTGTAACACGTGATTTACCTAAATCTCTCTCTTTTATGATATTCTTTTTTTACTGCTGCAAAAATCCCCACTCGTGTTTCAGTTGGTACAATACGCCAGTATCGCCATACATTGCGTAGAAGTAACACACTACTCACAAGGTTGCTGAAAACCCTATGACATCCCACAACCGGTTTCGCTTAACTTGGGACTCATCAGGTAGGCGCACTCCCCTAGTTTCCGTCAACTCCATGTTCTACTTGAACCGAAATTGCACGAAATTCTCCATTCATATCAGTCTGGTTTTGACGGCAGAGTCAACTGAATCTAGCTGAATATCTCGTTTATGCTATTCGTCTTCAACTGAATGTGCTGCCACCTCATGTTTCAGGTGGCACAATAATCGAGAAATCTCGGCGTGTTTCTTCGACACCATATATTACTCACAGAGTTACTGGAAAGGACAACGAAACCGGTCTCGAGCTGTCAGTGACCAGTGTTTCTCAAATAAAAGCGAAACCCTTCTGAGGGGTTTCTGCTGGTTACAGCGTATCGGTGTATCGATATATTCAACAGAAACACGTCCTATTTTCTTGCCCGAGTCAAGTGCCAGATGGTTACGAATATTATCCCTGTCAGCCAGTTGTTACGCATGGAATCACACTCGTTCGGTTAATTGCCTCACCGACAAACACAGGACACGTGTCCTCAGCCTGCTGGAAATTCGTCCGGAAAAACTTCGCTGGATGCATGACCTCACCACCTGTTTGTTATACTGTACGCGTCACTGAGCAGTCGAAGTCGAGGTGTATTGATCTGGAACGAGAATAGGGATCTTTGTTAGGGGCGTGAATGTAAAATCCAAATCGCGGAAGATTTCCCCTTGGAACTTCAAAATTGGAAATGGATGGGCTTTGGATCTATTTCCGCCCGTTGGCGAGTCGCATCACTAATCAGCCACCCGAAGCTGATTTGTACGATATTCCTTTAAACCGCTATCAGGGGGTTCCCGGGTCGATTCTTCTTCGTGAGCTTGAAAACCCAAGATGATAGAAAACGAGGATTAAACGGCCGTGTATTGGTTTCACTCCACTTGCCGATTTAAACCATCACGCAACAGCAGGCGAGTTATCATAACAGATGATAACGTAACACGACATAACCTAATATCTTGAGTGAGAGACAACTGAAAATATCAAGACGAGTGAGATGTGATATGGTGCCAGATCATGACAACACCCAAGTTAAAGTCAATGAAGACACTATAAATAGTAGTGTGATACATTCTTCCATCAATTTCACGGCTTGATTGCCCGAAAAGCTCAGATAAAAACTAGACATCTATGCATCCTTTATGAATTCTACCACATACTGGCTCTGAGAACACCATATGTCTCCATTTCTTTTCAGCACAAGGAAACCTGGTCAACGGGGCGATATCCCCCGTTGGGGTCGATAACGGTGCTTTTTATTGGGTATTCCTTTCGCATAACACCCTGGTGTTCCCACTGGGGGCGGGTTAATTTTAACTTCTTGGTTCAGGAGAACGATTCCGTAGTTGTCGATAAATCACCTAGTTCCATGGGACGAAGGCGGCCGCGTGATACGCGGCACACACTTTCAGGCACCACTTTTACAGTGGACTGGTCACTTATACTGATCAACTTCCGGAAGGGTGTTGTAAGGTTTTTCTCGAGCACACAAAATCACCTATTTGTACGGTTCTAAGCATTCAAAGAGAAGACCGTTTTTGGAATCGTTCTCCGACTACCACGTTTGTCGTACGTGTGACGATATCCTCGATGCAGGGACCGTCTCCGGACAACGAACTATTGTCGATCCAGTGAAATTGCTTCATAATGAGACTTGGGGAAAAGCGCGACCCCTTCAGTTACGGTTGTTTTCTTCATCGGAAGTTGTGGGAGCAACCAAGACATCCTGAAGAATTCTTTTAAGCTTTTTCCTATTCAAATGTTGGATATCTGTTCTCAAAATCTTGAGAATAGTTCCCAGGTCAACTAACAGCTGATCACTGACCGCAGCCGTTAACCTATTGTTCATATGTGGTCGTATATCTTCGCTTCCCTAAAACGGGCTCAGTGAATAACTGCCGGAAAGGAGGCAGGCTCTGCCAGCCCTTACTCGTCAAGCAGGATGGCTGTCCCACCCTGACATCAAATGCTACCGGCTATAAGAATAAACAGCTCAAAAGTTACGAGACGCTGTCAACCAGGGATAGCTACACGAGCCTTACAACTTCCAATCAACTTTTTTCTTCATGAACCTCAATAGATTTCATCCTGTGAGTGAAACCAATCTATACTGAACAGCTGTTTCATCCACTTCGGACCAACCCAAAGAAAGCCGGAAACCAAAGGAGAATCGATAAACCCAAATGGACTGGCAAAGGCCGGCCAATACACACAGAACGAAACCACGGATTACATTAGGACACCGAAAAAGAATGTGGTTCTTAACAGATTGCGCAACACATACCAGTTTCAGTCGGTTGGTCTTTTCCCCACAATTTTTACAAACCGGAAATAAAACCAAATGGACTGGCAAAGGCCGGCCAATACACACAGAACGAAACCACGGATTACATTAGGACACCGAAAAAGAATGTGGTTCTTAACAGATTGCGCAACACATACCAGTTTCAGTCGGTTGGTCTTTTCCCCACAATTTTTACAAACCGGAACCTGTGCTTTTTTCAGACCATGGGAAACTGCTCATAAGTAGTGGACAGGAATAGCCTGAACCACTCTATAGTTAAAGAAAGTAAAACAAGTTATGGGTTTCCAACAAGCTTCATCAGCCTTAAAGCCGCATTCAGTTGAGACTCCCATTAATACTTAGATAATTCGCGGATGAGTGCATTTGGACAGTCGGTTTCCGATGGGAACTCGGGTATCGTACCTACCTAATGGACCGGGAGGTAGGTGAAGCCGACAGTAGGCCGTCACAATGTTTTCAGAAACTCCATGAGTAGTATTTTATGTCAGTGCAGCGGGATGTCAACGAGTTTTCGCAGATTTATCAGTGTTTCACGATTGCAGTCAAAAAAAAAACAATAAATCATGACAGAAGTACAGTAATCTTATCCATGAAAGAGATGATGGTTTACGGGAAATCTGTTATCTAGGGATGAGATTCCCAGTTCTCTGATTCGAAACTCAGTTTATCATAGAAAGTGACCAAAGAAGGACTGAGGTTTACCGAAATCAGTTGGGGATGGTACGGCAGTAAGAACCACTTTACTACGGTTTATAGTTTAGGTTCTACAGGATGGATGACTGAGTCCCAGCGTCTGCTGCCACTGATTGTCTACCAAGCCTCTATGAAACACCATTTCAGTAGTTCAGATCTGGAATTAACATTTTCCTCTGAACCTTTCGGATCGCTTCCGTTGTGTAACAAACCGTTTGGCAGAGCGCAGGATGGAAAACCAGTAAAGTTCCAGTAATGATTCACTAACCTCATGCGAACACACATCGTGTGAACGTTGCTCCCACAACTAAGAGCGTGCACGCATCGATTAGTCTCGTGACGTTATCGATTTGTGTCGTATATAGATTGTTTCAATTCCTACTTGATAACTAGCTGGAGTTAGCCAAATTACAACCGTGGCGCCAGGGTTGGGTGAATCCAATATACTGAAATGCAGATAAAAAACGTCATGAGCAGCAGTGACAATCGGAAATTTTTGCTGATAGAAAAGAGAACTGATGCTCAGATCAAAGAAACTGCTTTGGAAGAGGCAAGATTTCCGGAAAATGCACAGTATCTGCAGAATAAATCGAACCCTCGAACTAGGGGAAAAAGACTACAGCTGAAGTCGAGGATAAACTAGTGGGCACCGAAACTTATCCTTAACTGTTCGCACTGTAAATTCGAGCTGGATATGGTAAACGTCGGCCACAAAAACCCCGGTGGTCTTCCTTCTGACAAGCCAATCAAGGACCCGAATAATTCCACATGAAAATTAGTCGTAAACTCAGTCAGGATTTATGGAATGTGACTATCTTTAATGACCTGGTCCCAAACCCCTTAATAGTCTGTTTGCACGAGTAGATAAGTGAGGCAAAGACGACATTTCACCCCCGTCTTATCAATAACTCGCTAGAGGTCAGTGAATTTCCAAGCATCCAGGTCGAATTGGCTGAGTATTCCGTTTTATCGCTAACCCAACAGTCTATGGGTCAAAAAGCACTTTTAGCAAAGGTCTCCGTCGGTCCTTGCACCGGACATAACGCTAATAACCTGGCTGCTACATGAGACGGGGGTGTTAGGGATCACTCCGCAAGCTGATAGATTGATAAGTTGATAAGCGAGAATTTTCACAGTGGTTATTATTTTATCTCTCTGATAGCAGTGTACCAGCAAAAGTATAGTCAACCTATGCAAAACTTGGTGTTCAAACAGAACATAGCGTGGAATGAAACCTGGAAACTACGCTCACTTGATGAGCTCGAAGAGGGTGAAATCAAAACTGGGGTGCCAAAGAGTGTTCAGCATCGACGTGAGTAGTGTGTTCTGTCAAAAAAATAACACTCAGATGGGCGTCGCTTTTTTCATATTGGTTCGATGAAAACTAAATATTCTGGACTCGAGCAAGAGGGAGCACTGTCGAACGAGTTAATGCCATTCTATTATCAGAAGTTTCCCAAATCAGAAGTGCAGACTGTAGACATAACATATTACTCATAAGTTTACTGAAGAATTCTCGGCAGCCCACGACCAGTTTCGCCCAAATTCGGGGCTCCTCAGCATAATGCACTGACTTCATGCTGCCCATGGTGATGAAGATGACGATGAAGAGGATGATGATGAGGTTGAAGATGATGAAGATGATGATGGTGATGATGATGATGATGATGACGATGATGATGATGATGATGATGATGATGATGATGATGATGATGATGATGATGGTGATGATGGTGATGTTGATGATGATGATGACGATGATGTTTGGGCTCACCAGGCAGGTGCAATCCCCGAGCTTCCCTATTATTTCATGACCAGATTCGTGTGCAACTGAGATTACTTGTCACGTAGAGTGTAGTGCTTTTGAATTCCCATGTGCGGACTGTAGTTGTCCCAGCGATTCGTAAGATACTCACCACCGACTACTACCGGCAAAAATAAAAGAGGCTTACTGTGCTTTTTGGTTTTCAGCTCAAACCCTGTTTCAATGTTCGTTTTGGAACACCTCTATCAAGTTGTCTCACATATAAATTGGGGCATTTAATGAATGGTGTCCCAGAAGGACATGACGATAATAGTAATAAGTACACTGACCTCTGGAGACCACAAAAGTTCCGTGAGTGTTCTAGTGTCCACAAGGAAGATGTTTGCAATGGCGTAGAGGTTACGTTGATAAAGCGATCAATCCTGGATTGATTTGATAGTGCGTACATAGTGCATTCAAGAGGTCAAGCTGGTGACATTTACATATTGTCAGGCTCACAGTAGACACGACTGTTCGCCTCTTTCAGCCTTAGCGACCATCAGATTTCGCAAGCTTGCAGTAACCACCTACATGTGTAGTCCCTCGAAAAGACATCTCGGTATGGGCCAAGACGTTCCCACGCTTCCTGGGTGGTCGGCATTCCAGACCTGGGTTGGCTACATNCAAGACCCAGAAAATCATATGACCGTCCGGCAAGCAAATCAAATGAACACTTCATCTATACATCTCGCAATATCCATGAGAATAACTAAGACAAGCTGGTGTGTTTCAGCCCCCGCAGCCAGTGTGGATCAGGAAGTCGACAAACCTCCCAGTCAAAACGATGGCAACAGATGACACTCCAAGTGGTCTTTCGGGATCATGAAGTTCGTGAGAAATTCAACCATGGATCAGTTAACAACAGTGACTGCTCCTAGGGCCTGGTGACATGACAAAAACTCACAAACCACTCATGGAGCATGCTGCCTCGGTTAGAACTTTGTATTGCTTTCCTGTGACTTTGTGTCCAACCTAATTTAAAACACACGAATCAAGCTTGATTCAACAGTCTGTGAGCTGTATGGAGAGCATTCATCGTCATGTTATGTAAGTAAAAACCGAAGAGGGTCAAGGTTTGCCAGCCATTAGACTAGCATATGAATAGTGGGTTGATTATATCAACCGTCGCATATAGAACGTTGCCTTTGTCTTAGTTAACTGCAAACTACCATGTCCAGATAATTTCATGCAGTGGTTCTTTTAGCTGACCCGGTATTCTACTGAAATAAGTAATCAGTAGTACGTTTGTGAAACTTAGTGCGATGGACGTGGGCTTCTGATACCAAGGACACATTTTATCTAGCACCTGCAGACACCAACGCATCCCGACGGTTTGACGTAGTGAGGCATCTAATCTCTTGTGATCAGCAAGTGAGGAGATGTAAAACAATAGGATACAGTGAAATGCAATGCAATACAATACAGTACAACATAATATAATACAACACAATACAATATAGTATAATATAATATAAATATAATGTAATATAATATAGCATGATACAATGTAATATATGATGTAATATGTCATATAATATAAATACAATATAATACGATACAGTGCAATACAACGCAATACAACTATAATCTACGCCTTCAAAATGGGCACCACCAACTCACGAGAATGTCAAACCCCGGCAACCGATTTTGTCCCCTTCTCCCATAAAGGCCAGAAACTTATCAGGCTACAGCAATGATAATTGTGAGTGACTGGATCCTATGGCATTTAGTAGAATAGCGATTCACTTCTCTACGGAAACGTGGAGTGCAGTGCATAAGAGGAATGAAGATAACAGTGCATCGTGAAACTGTAAGATTCAAGCGGAAACTCAACATTACACTGGTTTGACTGTTCACGCCGCTTTTCCTTATTGGGTCACCAAATATTGTAAATTATCCTTTTTCCTTTCGTATGTATTGTATATTGTTGCAGATCCGTGGGTGCCTTTTCGTGAATAGTCTCGCCAACGCCTTCAATTACGAGGAACGGGATAATATTCTGTCCGGGAAGAGGAATTGCCAAGTTACAGTGCCAGGAAGAAAGCAAACCCCTCACTGATGGCAGAAATTCTAGGCTACCGCACTACCTGAGGTTTTTCCAGGAGAATGACCACATTCAGATTTCAATCAATTGGAAAAAGTTTGGAACCGATTGAGAAGTCATCGTTTCAGAAGAGCTTGGTAAACAATCGGTAGTTTTACCGATTTATTATTCCCGTAAATCAGGTTGAATAGCATCCAACAACTTGGTTCTCTAACGTGGCGGCTCCCATGCAAATAGCTTTTATACCACACGTGCTTACAGAAATCTTAAATAGTGTTTTTCATGGCAGTGTTTCCCAATCTATTCCGAATCGCGTATCGTGAGCAGTCACTTCCCTCTTGAAACTCCAGCGAGATGAAAAAATACACTCCCCATGATATGAAAAACTACTGATGAGTAGTCAAGCGAATAAACCAGTTTGTGTGGCTCCGTCAGTGTCCAAGTGTGCATAGCAGATAGCCCTGATAGCTTTTCGGCCATCCTCAGGAAAAACGCGGGGACTACTTAAAATGGCACAAAAGATATCAATATTTATTTCAACTGAACTGATCCTCGATCGATGTTGGGATAACATCTCCTCAGAAACATGTAGGAACGGTTATAGGAATGCAGATATGGTCACCAGTGTTACCCTAGGATACGAAGTGATGTTCTCAATTTTCTCATTCAAAACTTAACGAAACCAAGTAACAAGGCAATTCGTGTAAATCAAACCGAAATTCGAGCGGTATATTGTGGCGAATAGGCAAATGATGATAAAGGTGCATGGTTCCGTGGGCACCTGACTGAAAGCAGTATGTTTGTTCTGCTTTGTAAACTTTGTAGGCGATAAGAACATCAGACAAGCATCACATCCGGTTCGATTTCTCCCTCATAGCGATTCCACCAATTTCCGAACTATTTTTGCAACAGATTTACAATCCAATACGACCTCGGGTAAAGTAAATCGGGCGGACTTAGACAGAAGTAAGTGAGAACGCCCCTGGGACTGCGTGATGAGCTCACTGGATGGTGGTAGTAGTATACGGGGTGGAAACCTGGTGTACAAAAGTATCTCTGGTTGGCAAATCGATATCGTTAGAAGAGCTCGGATTCGCTGGTCAAGCTAGCAAGTTAGCGACTATGTGCTCTCATTTCATATCATGTCAAGTTTATGTATATGGAGCCGTGTGACAGTCTTTCGACTCTCTAGTTCGTTAATTCACTAAGCTTCATTTGAGCGTTGGTTACTGTAATGGCAACTTCATGTTCCGTAGGTTAGTAACCCACCGTGGACAAGTCGTTGTTGATACCCTCCACCAGAATAAAACCAACTGTCCTGTGAGGAAGCCGCATGTAAAACCATGAGACGGACGTGGATGGAGAACAGATAAAACGAGAGAGACACCTCAGTTTTCTTGGATGCTACGTTATACTTTAAATTAGGTGGCTAAAATGAACCATCAACGCTTCATCCGTAACCTTTTTCGGCGCCTAGTTGCCGTGCCCCCCTCCCGAAGGAAGCATGAGGGCTGAGGTAACGTCGGGTTGCCAAATCCTACATAGCAGAATTCGGGATGCTGGGGTTGGAATCCAACCACGGGCCTTTCGGTCAGTAAATTCGCTCCAGTGAGCCATCTAAGTAGCCGTTATCCTCATTTCCAATGAAACCTTCAAAGTCTTTTCACAGGAAAACTCACCCTTGTTGAGAACCCCATCTGATATAATGGGATTCGAACATGTCGGACCAAACGATGATAGTTAACGTTTTGCTTTCAATGAGGTCGACTCATTCACTGAGCATGACAGCTATGTTGTTAATATTTGGCCACTAACGAAGGGGAAATGAACAGTTCATAGTAGCGTAGCGGTGTGCGTGTGCGTAAGTCAACAGGGAAAATGGGGGACAAAAAAGAGCATGCTAAAAATTGAAATACTCTATGTAGTATGTGTAGGGGGCGAAGTTGAGACTAAATGGATGAACATATTTGTAGATACCTGAGCGGTAGTTCTTTTCTTCAAAGGATGGGAAGTCACGGGTTCCAATCCCTTCCCAGGATATTGGTTTTCTCGCTGGCATAATATCTTCTTGGGTTCGTACGAAACAAGAAATGGCCTCAAACGACACTCTAGGTTGGACGTGATCTCCCGATAAATCTACGTGGCTCACTTTAGTCTGGAGATCGAAACCTTTATTGGACGCTTAGTCAGTCGGTCTTGAAATCCCAGTGAAGCATCGGTGTTGAACACTGATGTCATGCTGTCGATGATGATGATGATGATGATGATGATGATGATGATGATGATGATGATGATGATGATGATGATGATGATGATGATGATGAAATCCCTGTTTAAAAGTTGGAGCTCCTAAAGTGTGATCAAATGAGGTTAGCCAAGAAGTTCGAAATGAATGCTTCCCTCGTGGCGAGTTTTAGGATGACTTCCATACTTTCTGTCCTCAAAGATGAATTAGAACACTGCGATTACTTCTTATCCGGGAAGACTCCGGGTTGGTTGAATAAAACGCTGTTTTCGGCGAAATATCTGTGCAAGTAGTCGGATGTGTTCAAAACAAGGTCCCATGTAGTGCACAAACCACTAGCACATCTAATCTTGATCGATAATGAGCGGACGATTCAATTGTTGAAGGAGTGCATATGCGAGTCTCGACACGAGGCGATGGATCTTATCGTTCCGACTCTACTGTTTACCTACAAACCTTGAGACAAGGCACGTGTTGCCGGTGTGCGCTCCACTTAACCGATACGTTAACGACCACAGCGGGGATCTGGTCCGTTGCTTTGGGCATAATCAGTGTGTTTGTGCGGTTGCCTCTTTGTTCTGAAATCTGATAGCTGGTCACCAAGGGAATGTAGTCCGTGTGCAAACAAACTACCAACATCAACAATAGTGACCAAATGCGCACAGTTGCTGTGCGTTTCAATCTCAAAACGGTGCACCATGAAACGATAGTACACCAGTAACTAACAGATTCCTAGGTGGTTTTTCTCGAAACTCCGTGAGTGAAAACCAAGCTGGTTAATCTGCCGCACAAAGACTGCATCGTGTTTGAGTTAGTGCCACGTTCGAGATTTCCCACTTGATCTCATCACATATATGACCGTCGAAAAGTCTTCGACAGTCCACCACAGGCTTCGTTCTGTTTAGAGCTCATCAAGTTCTATTTGATGACCGTACTCAACCAGGTTTTTAGTTATTCTGAGACGCAAAAACGCCATCCGTGATATGGCATCGTTCTTGCGCAACAGATGCCCAAACCACTACAAACGTCGTCTTTGAAGGAGTTACGATAAGCGTGGTAGATCTTAGCAACATTCCCGAATGTGATCATTGATACTTTGTCTAGATATCAAACTCTCATTATGTGTCCGGGACACCAGTAGTTAAAGCCTTCTGTTTTCGAACCGCTTCTGCCTGTCCTGGACACAGTTTCCAGCCAGAAAACAGGACCGGATGGATGAATGCGTTGAAGAATAATCTCATTTCTTTTCCACGAGGCAGAGTTCAGTTGCAAGAAGGCTCACTAGAGATTGTTTATATACCACTGAATTCCCTCTCCGTTGGGTAAGATGGGGGAACCAAGGTAGCTTGAAGTCGAGAAAACACAGAACTGTGTTAGGACCTTGGCGAAAAAAGTCAATGGGTGCTCGTCTCATTATAGAAAGGTCCATCATTACGGTAGTTTGGCTACTCGAGTAGTCTGACGCCCAACATAACTGTTTTGCGGTCAGGATTTTGAGCCAAAAGCTTTCTTTGGCTGTGGACAAGAGCAAACACACATCACGTCAATAACACAAGCGCCAAGACTGGGACGGAATCGAGATAACTCAGTTGTTAGGTCCGTGGCTCGAAACCTACCTCAGCATTTCGACTGCAACCTGCCAGTAATTCAGCCCTCGTGTTTCCTTTGAGTGGCATGGCAGGTAGGAACCGAAAGGGTGTTACAACTGGCCGATTATCTGTTTTGTGTAAGCTATAATCCACATGCGGTGAGGGCTGGTCACCCAACTACCTGTTCCCTATTAGAGACCAATTAGAACAGGTCCATATTTCTCTGCAAAAAAGGTAAAAGTATTCAATGTGATTCACTTCCGGTCTCTACGAAAGTGCATTCGATAGCTCGTAATCCCGAGTTCGATTGTACGCAAACGGTAACTAAATTACCACGTGATCAACTACTATGAACCACCTTGCAAGCCCAAATGTTAGTGCAGTGTCTCGTTCGTTACGTTCGATTACTAGTTGGAATTGCTCGAAGAAATTGCTTTTTAAAAAAGTTATCAGAACATTTTGCTTTGACAGATCCACATACATATTCGGGTTTGACGTTGAGAGAGTTTCCTTGTCAGTAGACGGTGAATGGAAAAGGTATTTTGGACGTGAACTTCCCCGATCCGTTTCGTTAATGTTGACCGGGTTCGAGCTCTTGAGCAATCAGGTAGGTAACGTTCACACGAAAGTTCCCCGTACTTTTGTCTACCACTTGTGGCTTCTGCCGTCTAGGCCGCAAAAGTTGATTTTGGACGTCATGTGGTGAATCAGGTTCGATTAAACTAGGGACCATCCAAGTGAGAAAGCGTTCCTTTCCCCGGAAAAAAAGATAAACGATGGATTATTATCCGAACAAATTTATTCGCCGTATTCATTTCAAACTATCCCCAACGCGCTTGAATAGCTGTCAGCAACTAAGCTTCGTTGATTGGTGAAAGATCAACACCTGTAAGCCTGGAAATACTTGGTCTAACTCATTCTGACAGGTGTCGCCACATATCAGTCGAAAATAGGACAATTGACATTCATCACTGTCACGCGATATAGTGATGTCTCCCCTGTGTGTGAGTGAGCCACTCGTCCACAAACCCGTATGCTTATGTCTTGGTCAACGAAGCGTAGCAGGGGTGTGGTTTGTGGTCACACCACGTAAGCACACCAGAGCGGGATTAGGAGAGGGTTCTCGTCACTGGGGGCTTGTCTACGGTCAGTGATGCGTGCGTAAGTTGACAGGTCATCACAAAGCTATTCAACAGGTGTTGCACAACGGGAAACTTCGTTTGGTTAGGGTGCTGCAGAATCGCATTGTGTACGACGAAGGGGTCGGTGTTTGGACCGAGTTCAGTCTACGTAGATCTGTGAACTGAATGAGGATAGTTTTGGGTGAAATTCGAACCAGTGTTCGCCATGGTGACCATACTATAGTGAACGGTTTGGGGGAAAAACAGAGAATGTTGAGTACAATGTGGAAATTCAAACTTTTTAGGATTAATTTTTTGAAAGCACTTGCTTGACGAGTGGGTCGTGATTCAAGCCTCTGATCTTATTCTTTGTTACTTTCTGCAGGTTAAACACAAGGCGAAAAAGTTGGTAGTACATGGTGAAACTTCCGAGCTATTATGTCGGAATAGGAGAACGAGTTGATCAATCAGTTATGTAAAGTGGATGATCCGTTCATCTTGAGTTCCAACTAGGGCACTAGGGATCTTTTCTAGAATGCGCTTTTAGTCAACCCCCGGGAGTATGCATACCGTAATTCTTATCTCAATATTTAAGTCAGGTTTTCATCTAATCAGAGATTTTTCACAACCGTGGGAACTGTTTCACTCAACGTCGAATGTAGCGATTTTGGATCTTCTCCAGACAAGCCCTGCCACTAATGCAAAAGTGCATGTGCGAAAAGTTAAGCCCCGCCACTTTTTGCCAGCTCCAGTTTAATGTACGCACACAACCTTGACCTATTGTTGATGTGACAATTCGTTATCGTCGAGGTCGATGAAACGCTAGTCTTTCCCCAGCCGTGAAGTTTCGGAGGGATCAGCCGGGAAACTAAAGAGGTGTTCATGTATCCCGTGCCAGACCGTACTGTGGCCACTTTGATGGACCCAATCCAGGCCTGGATCGCACCCGGCTTAATCATCATCTCCTATATGTGGGTATCATGCCAAGGAACTAAAACGATGATTGACATGAACTATACTCATGAAACGGTTAATCATAACGAAAACTTTGTGCATCCAACGACCGGAGCTCACACACAGACCATCGAATCTCTCTGGCACGTCTACAAGATGCAGAATAAAAGCCACTTCGGCACACACCGATCTTTAGTGGACGGCTACTTGTGTTGATTCGTTTGGATGCAAAGGTACGGGAAACCGGACCTTTTCAGTAAAATTACTAATGACATGTCCCAATTCTACCCTCTTCAATAAAAAATAAAAGTACAAATTTCACATCCTCTTTTTTCTAGTCTTTCTTGAATGACGAGGGCTAATATTTTTGGCGGGGCTTATCTGGAAAAGATCCGGCACTACCACCATGGACGTTCGAAACCGGTCGGCTTTTGTAACCAAGTTGTATACCACGACCCCTTGGCCGACATGATAACGCCCATTGACGGCATAAATGATCCGGAACGCTCAAAACCAAGGTACTGGATGGTCACATGTATCGACCATTGTGTCTGATATCTTCTCAACAAGAGATCACTCTATGGCAGGTGGACAAAATAACAATATATCAACAAGACCCTGGTGAGCGTAAATTAATGGGTAACTCGTTTTTTATAGTGATATTTGAGGATTTTTAGTGGAAATCTTGTCCCGCAGAGGAAGTCAATCTATGCTGGAAAACCGAGAAGCCCTGTACAGCTGTTTCATCCTTATTGGGAATCATTGGCGGTGAGCATTTCACGAAGCCTCAGCGAGTCTCGAATCCATGAGCTCCCGGGTAGTCGTTTGAACGCTAAAATGTTCGACAGAGTGGCTAACTCACACTCGGGCAGTAACACGTGAACTGCTCGCACAATTATCGATTGAAAGAATCGATAAAATCAAGGAGACAATCAGTGGCCCCAGGGAAGTTCATAAAATAAGCAGAAACCAATAGGATCCGATGCGATTTTAGCGGGTAACACAATGCAATTGGGTTAGGCAAAAAACGGATGACGATCGATGAGTTTAGTGCTAATAGATCTTTCCTTAAAATAGATTGCTTCTCAGTCGCTTCCAAGCTTTTCCCCACTGATGGGAGACTACTAGAGGTCAGCGTAACTCGCGAGGGATGTGAGCAAGACCTCAAGAAAACGGGCTTGTCGGATATAAAGAATCCCACATCTGTTGAGCATATTTCCAAAGCTAATCGCTTTGGAATTCAATCCAATATGCGTACAATCATTTTCACGTAGGTTTTCTTGGGGAGAGAACCTGAAAGCTCTATGTTTTCAGGATTATTTTAACGAGGAATTACTGAAACGTCAAACAGGTCCTACAGATATTCATCGGGGTTTGTTTTAGTGATCACTTGTCTACAGTACAGTTAGTCGTTCGTTGCGAGACAATACAGGTGCGGTGTAATTCCAACGGTTCTCGTCGAGATCACTTATTGGCGTGGGAAAATACAGGTGTGTGGTCGAACGCATCTTCAAGATTGTCTCGTACCCCGCTGCGTCCGGAATTTGTCCATTTGATCTGGACAGTGTACAGCGTTGTTCCTTCGCTTTTAGGTCTCACGCATCTGCTTACGGATCAGAAGCACCTGACATAGTGAAATAACGTTTTTCAGACACCTGCGCAACTCTCTTTGCATATGTTATTTCGGTGGTGATCCTCCAGCCTGATGACTGGCCTTGCCGGAATTTCTCCTCAAAATATGGCATCCAGAGCCGTATTGTACTTCATGTTGGCAAGTTCAAGCACGCGGTTGGTAAGCTTCGATGTAAACACGAAGTCTTGTTGACACAGTGACTTTTTCTCTCGTGTACATGCAGACTTAACTCCCCGTGCCGCCGGTGGATGCGGGTCGGGTTTCAAACAGGCCCATTTGACCTCTCCACCTGTTGTTTTTTAAAAAAAGCATGTTTTGTGGTCTTGTATTGATTAATGGATGGAAAGCCATCCAGTTAGATTTCGTTGTAACTTGCTCTTGGGAGTAGAGAGATTGTGTTGCCGATGTTGTTGTTCACTTCAGTCGAAATTCGGAACACATGTAACGTTTGGTTTATGGTTCTGGTAGCAGAACAACCGATGTGATTGGACTGCCAACAAGGTCGGACATCAAGTTCCTGAACAAGGATCCAAACTAACTCCCATGGTTCGCCATGGATTCCTATCTGTCTCCGCATCCGCGTCCATAGTTTGGATGCCTCATCTGAATATTCACGTGACCTAGTTTGGTATCAAGTGACTTTTGAACGTACAAGGTCTCGCCCTCATTAGGCAGTTGAATTGAAGGCGGTGAGTGTATGGGAAAAGCAGTATATCGTTCAAATAACCGCCGCTGAGAGATGAAAGCTGAAACCGTATTGTTCTGCAATAACCGAGAGATTAATTAAACGTTCTACCAACGTGTGATTAGCTTAGAAGGTACACAGATCGATCTGGACGATGACTCGCGTCTTGGAGATAGGGTTAGGGTGGGCAGTGGTTTACACACTTCAAGATTTCCTACATGAGCGTTACGGTCCTTTGTTCCACATGGGTTTCGCTCATTTCCGACCCTAAATCATTCTTCACTAGGAACGATAAACCATGGAAAACCATTTCTGGTCCTTTATTGTTTCTTGCAGCTGTTCAAATGGCCATCGCGGGTTTGTCTGCTACGCGTTGGTGGAACAGCTGGCTAATGATAACGATAATAGAGTGGTGACAGTCACCGACGCGATAGTTGATTTACACTTACAATAACTGGCTTCTTGGTCCCGGTTCCTGGGCGCCCAAGATGTTTCCCTAGATGCACCCTAGAAATTTCGCCCTGTAGGTGAAGTCAGTCTAGTCCAGAAGCGAAAAGAACTGTAGAGCTGTATTCACCCGCAGTGGGGTGCATCATCATCTCCAGGAGGATTCAAACGGATGATCTCCCTGCAAGTCTTGGAAAATCATGGGAAATCTCTTCAGAATCCCTTCACACTGTCAGCAAAGTGTAGAAGGTGGAACAGTGGGCACCAAGCACGAACCCTTCGTGTGGTAAACCGTCATTTGAGGAACACGTAATGTGAACTCGGTGAATGAGGAGTAACCGGTGCTATTTCCTGAGTCTGAGTTGATTACTCTGTTGATCGATTGCTCATAACCGAACGGTTTAGATTTATACTGCTATCCGGAGTTCGCGGGTTCGAATCACTGGGGAGCTTCCTGAGAAGTGCATTGTTAGCGAGTCCCGTTCAGGACGAAACAACCGTACAGTGCTACTCTGCTTTTCGGTATGAATTGATTTCATCCGTGGAATGAAACTTCGGGTGATAGTTTGTAAGCACTTGAAGCAGTATATTTGTAATGTACTACTCATAAGGTTGCTGAGAATCCATCGACAGCCTTGGGTGAATCCAGTTGAAATCGAGGATCATCTAGTGACCATATGAAAGTTCTCTGTAGGACAGTTCAGTTCCTCTGAGTAAATGCTGAACTTTGCATTACTTCACTCTTAAAGTGGTAAATTGTTTTGAATTAAGGCCAATTAGAGAAGAACTGAGTTCAAATAGGATTACTTTGAGGGTAATTCTGGGGTTGTTTTAACCAGCATTACTGTTCACAATAATATTACTAATAACGAATTGCTGTGTGCGATCACGAAACACTGATACCACGCGTTTGCTCGGAGGCAGAAACAGTCGGCGAAGAAAAACCGGTGTTCTGACTAATAATAAGCTGAATAGTGCTCACTGCACCAAAATCCTGGGAAATCCACATAGCTAGGCTTTCCGCAGATGGTGATGACTGGCAAGAATAACTGTTGACTTACCGAGACAACAGGTCGGTGTTGGCCAACCAGACGGAGATCGCCTTAATGACATTCCCGTCGGTACAGAGAAACCTAATGAAGTAGGTAACCATTTGATCGATAAGGATAAATAAATCTGCCATGTTGATCACCCCGTAGCTTATCCGTTCATTTTAAATGACACTTTGTATCCCTCTTCAATAAATCAAATTAATGTTTGTGGGACATATGCATTCCGTACGTTTTCGTTGACCACAACTCCCGTATAAGTCCACGTCCATTCGGGATAATTTTTCGTGAAACACTGAGCCTGACATTCCGATCAGACTCTCCTTTCATCTTCTGCAACTACTCACCGTCCGTTTTATCCTATTTTCACTGTGCACAGGAAACCATACCTCTGATTGGTTGCAAGAACAAGCGCTATTCATTTGTTTGTTTATTCGTCTTCCCTGTGTTATTCGTTTTAGTTGTTCGAATTTTTTACGAACTGTCACTAATGAAGTAATTCTGTGCGTCCAAATCAAGTCTGCTCATTTGTATCATTTATGGTGTCAAAACGGTATGCCCCAAGGTCACGTATACCAGTAAGGGTTGTATGCTTATATTGTTGCGAGATATGGCTTCTGAGAGGTGCCTTCAGATTTTTTACCCCCGGACATCTCACAGGTGTTGTCTGCGTCGGATTGTGTTAACAACTCCGTAAATAGGTGAATAGGAATCGGGTAATTATGTGCGAAGCTGACAGACAGATCGATGGTCAAATACGTCCGGCTGCAGTGGCTGGGTCTTATGCTGCGCATACCGAAACCCGAAACCAGCTTGTTCTCCGTGCCTCCTTCAGGATACCAAAAACTTTTAGGTGTACAATACATGCCTATGCACAAGGGTGCGAAGGAGATTAATGAGATACTTGTGATGCACTACTCATTAGGTTGCTGAAAGTTCGTCGACAGCCCACGACCGGTTTCACCCAAATTGGGGCTCATCAGGTAGGCGCGGTCCCCGGGTTTCCGTCAACCTCATGTTCTACTTGAAACCAAATTGCACGAAATTAGCGAATATACACTCATTCGTAAACTAACTTGATTTTTCGCAGCCTCACCTGGAACCCAGCTGAATCTCTCGTTTGTAATGTTCTCAGGCAACTGAATGTGCTGCACCAGGCCACCTCATGTTTCAGTCGCTACGATATTCGAGATATCGTGATACATCTATGTATTTATAATGCACTACTCATAAGGTTACTGAAAATCTGTCGACAACCCACGTCCGGTTTACAGGTTAATGAGAGTTCGGGTGTGTTTGAACGGCCCACCTGCTAAGACGGGGTCATCATAGCTCTCCCCTTGCCGATTGTGCTTTCAGAGGTGTACGCCCATCAGAATGCTTGCGGTAGGCTAAAGCCAGGTCTGTTCTCCATCCAGTATTTTCAGTTCTTTCAGTTTTGGACATCAGTGTCAACACCAACTTTTATGAGAAATTTGTCTGTCAAGAATATCGAATATTGTGGTAACTGAAACACAAAAAGACACATCCAGTTGAGGTATAGCAAAAACCAGTGTCACGGTTGACGCTCCCGCTAACAGTAACTTCATTCTCAATTCAGAATATTTTTTGAGAATATCCTTCTCAATCCACATGACATTCCAGTCCACCAAAGGATGTGTTTTTTTCACACTGTGAATCACCTTCGCAAATAGCGTCCGAGCTGACCTATCTGCGAGTTCCGACTGCAGATCCGAATTTGAACGACTTTGTGGAATCCGCATGCAGAATTTTCTAGAAATATCTACTAGACTGGTTTTCGTCTGTACGGTGATACACCAAAGTGGAGGAGGGCGAAGGAAAGGCAACCAATTACCACCGGTACAGGACTAGGGAATCCAGGCGCAGCATCTGTCGGGAATTTGGAGACATGATCCGGATTATTGCGCAACTACCAGGTGTCTTGTCTGGGTTCTCGTCTTCCGCTGTCCCATCCGCTTTAGTGCAACTGATGATGGGCATTCAAGGGAGGATAAAACGTGTCCATCCAAACACAAATCGAAATAGTGTGAATGATGATCAAAGGCAGTCAGGAACGACGTCTGAGATTTCGGTTTCATCACTTGAGGGTTCATGTGTCTGATGACCGATCTACTTCGATATAGGACGATTACAGGCATCAAAAGCGTTCAGATGTAGCACCCTTCCAATGCCTAGCTGCCTTACCACCAGAAGGAAGCACGAGGGCTGGGCTACTGCCAGGTCGTCCAAGCCTAGACAGGAGGAGTTAAGAGGCGGAGGTCGGATTCGAACCACGGACCTTCCCGTCGGTAAATTCGTGCTCTAACCACTTGGACAATCTCGCCCCAATAGGTATCAGCGTAACTGTGGAAATGCAAAACAAAGAAGTTTCGAATTCAGATCATTTAATGCAAGAGTTCTACTTTCAAAGCGGAGTTAACCGAAATTTAGCCTAA